TCATCATCATCATCATCATCATCATCATCATCAGCATCATCATCATCATCATCATCATCATCATCATCATCATCATCATCATCATTATCATCCTCCTCCTCCTCCTCCTCCACCTCTTCCTCCTCCTCTTCCTCCTCCCCCTCCTCCTCCTACTCCTACTCCTCCACCGCCTCCGTCTCCGCCTCCGCCTCCGCCTCCGCCTCCGCCTCCGCCGCCGCATCCTCCTCCTCCTCCTCCTCCTCATCATCCTCCGCCTCCTCCTCCTCCTCCTCCTCCTCTTCCGCCTCCTCCTCCTCCTACTCCTCCTTGTCTTCCTCCTCCTCCTCCTCCTCCTCCGTTTCCTCCTCCTCCTCCGCCTCCGCCTCCGCCTCCGCCTCCGCCTCCGCCTCCGCCTCCGCCTCATCCTCCGCTTCTTCGTAGAATTATTCTTCTTAATATGATTCGTATTCTTCTTCTTATTAGTATAATGCTTCGTATTATTATTAGTAGTATTATTATTGTTATTCGTAGTATTATTAATATCAGAATAATCATCATCAGCATCATCAATATTATTACTATTAGTATTATTATTAGTATTATTATTATTAGTATTATTATTAGAAATATTATTATTAGTATTATTATTAGTATTATTATTATTATTAGTATTAGCATTACTATTAGTATTCGTAGTGTTATTATTGCTATTAGTATTACTGTTACTATTAGTAGTATTAGCATTAGTAGTAGTATTATTACTAGTAGCAGTATTAGTCTTAGTATTATTACTATTCGTTTTAGTATTCGTATGATTACTCGTGTTCTTATTATTATATGTACTCGTAGTATTATTGTTGTGTGTCTTCTTATTCTTCTTATTATTATTATTAGTAGTGCTCTTCTGAGTATTATTGTTATTATTATTATTATTATTATTAGTAGTAGTAGTGTTATTATTCGTCGTATGCGTCTTAATGTTTTTATTCGTATTAGTATTCTTATTATTATTATTATTAGTACTCGTAGTATTCGGAGTATTTTTATTATTATTAGTATTATTGTTATTACTATTATCATTATTATTATCATTATTATTATTATTATTCGTCTTATTATTCCTCTTCTTTTTCCTCCTCCTTCTCCTCCTCCTCCTCCTTCTTCTCCTCATCCTCCTCCTCCTCCTCTTCCTCCTCCTCCTCCTCCTCCGCCTCCTCCTCCGCCTCCGCCTCCGCCTCCTCCTCCTCCTCCTCCTCCTCCTCGTCCTCGTCCTCTCCTCCTCCTTATCCTTATCCTCCTCCTCCTCCTCGTGCTCCTCCTCCTCCTCCTCCTCCTCCTTCTCCTGCTCCTCCTCCTCATCATCCTCATCCTCCGCAATTACACAACATGAATACTACTCTCCTCTCTCGCCGGATAACGTCCTGGAGATACTCGGCCCCCCTCGCACACTGCTTACACACAGGATTCCCGGGAATTGGGTTTTCGCTTGGGTTGTTTTCAAAATGCTGCTCCCGCTGCAGCGTTGGCCTCACTTCCGCGCTTCCGCTCGTTCAGAATCGTGCTCCCGCTGCAGCGCTGGCCTCATTTCCGCGCTTCCGCTCGTTCCGATGTGTGCTCCCGCTGCAGCGCTGGCGTCATTATTTGCAGTGCCATTCCACGGCATGCAATGCAGTGCTATGTGGCGTTCCGCTGTGCAATGCCTTGCCTTCAGCTGCAATGCTAGGATATGCAAGGCTCGACTACGCAGTGACGCACCATGCTATGCCATGCTACGCTTTGATCGTCCACGCCATGCTATGCTATATTGTGTTGTGTGCCGCTGTGCGATGCCATTATTTGCGTTGCAATGCGTTGTGATGCGAATATTCACTACGCAACGCCACGCCATGTTATGACATACTACGCTCTGCCGTGCTCTTCTACGCCCGGCTATGCCGTTCTCTACCATGAATCGCGCACCCTCTCGGGATCATTGCACTGCTCGACATCCGACTGTGCGAATTGAGAGGGGATCTACGCCATGGTAAGAGATAGGAGGGAGGGGTAGGGCGTCAGAGATGACGCGAGCGCACCTAGCTACGTAGTCCTCCTCCCCCTCCGCCCCCTTCTTCTCCTCCTCCACCTCCTCCTCCTCCTCCTCCTCCTCCTCCTCCTCCTCCTCCTCCTCCTCCTCCTCACCCGCAACCTCATCCTCCTCCTCCTCCTCCTCCTCCTCCTCCTCCTCTTCCTCCTCCTCCTCCTGCACTCCCCATCCCTCCTCCTCCTCCTCCTCTCCTCCTCCTCCTCCTCCTCCTCCTCCCTCCTCCTCCTCCGCCTCCTCCTCCCCTCCCCCCTGCCGCCTCTCTTCCTCCTCCTCCTCCTCCTCCTCCTCCTCCTCCTGCCCTCCTCGCTCCTTCCCCCCCCTCCTCCTCCTCCCCTCCTTTTCGCCGACCTCCGCCTCCTCTACCTCCTCCAGCCTCCTCCTTACCTCCCTAATTCTTCTCATCTCCTCCTCCTGCACATCCTATGCCTCTCCATCCTCCTCCTCCTCCTCCTCCTCTCATCTCATCATCATCATCCTCATCATCATCTCATCATCATCATCTCATCTCATCATCATCATCATCATCATCATCATCATCATCATCATCATCCATCATCATCAGCATCATCATCATCATCATCATCATCATCATCATCATCATCAGCATCATCATCATCATCATCATCATCATCATCATCATCATCCTAATCATAATCATCATCATCATCATCACCACCATCATAATCATCATAATCATGCCAGGTCGGGTCCCCGAGGCCATAACATTCTAGAGAAGCTGACGGTGGCGATGGCAGGTAACGACGGCCTCGACTCCCAGAGTGACCAGGACACTCGCGGGCAGCACAGACGCAGACTTAAATCGATTCAAAACCCTCAAGCGAGGGCGGGTGGGTTCGGGAGCTTGAGCACAACGGTAGCGGTCGTGCGGCCCCTCAGCCCCATTCCCAGCACACACCACACTAAAGTTGTTACAATGCCAGGTCGGGTCCCCGAGGCCATAACATTCTTTTTAGAGAAGCTGACGGTGGCGATGGCAGGTAACGACGGCCACGACTCCCAGCGTGACCAGGACACTCGCGGGCAGCACAGACGTACATTGTGTAACACAAAACTCATGGCCACAGGCCGCCCAAGAAATAAGATCGGGCCTGCGACAATTCCTCGATCGACGAAACGATTGAATCTGCCACAAGCTCGGCTGCTCGAGCGGGAAAGCGGGCAGTTGTGTGCCTGCACGCTACGCCTTTTTGCCGTGCGGCCGTCAAAACGCATGTGAGGTCGCCCCGAAAACGAGCAGCACTCTTTACCGTGATCACACACGCGAGCCAGGCGAGACAAGCTGGGGCAGTGCCAACAACACACACGCGTGGGAGCGCGAGCTGCGGCACCAAATTGACACAGGTCCACCTGAACGTTGAGACACGCAGAATGGTTCATTAGCTCAACTAGCTGAGGAACATGCCAGATCAAACTGCTACGAGGATGCTCGAAACACACAGGCACATGATGTTTCACGCACGCACGCAAAATCTGAATGGCAGCCTGCATCTCGACATTGTCACACAGAAAGGCAGGGAGCAACACTGAATTGGACGCGCCGTACTTGCGACCCCAAGGGTCCGCCACAGAACGGCAAGGCGGGACGCCTGGCTGCGTCCAGGTACTACGAGACAAGGAGATCCACAAAGCGCAGACAGCGGACGACCGAATCCAGCCCAGGATTCGATTGACCACTACTCGCTCAGTCAAACCTAGACTCGCGTTCCGACCTGCTCCGAACGATGGGCAACCCAAACCGCGACTGCGCAGCGCTTTGCATATGGGGGCCCCACGAGGCCCCAGCACAGGCAAAACGAGCCGCCTGCGGCGAGAAGCCCACGCGTGAGCACGTCGAAACGCCCCGTTCAAACGAGAAGTTAGCGCACGGTCAGAACTGGCGCCCGCTTTGCGACTGGCGGGACGACAGGCATGGGCTGAAGAGGAACAGCCAGCGGGAAATGGCCTTTCACAAAACTGCACACGATGAGCTCCGCCAATCTTTCGAGCACCTGATTTCCAAAGCGACTGACTTCGACGGGCAGGCCTCCGATTCTCTGTTGCATCCGAGTGCGCTTGCCATACCGTCTCAAGCTATTGTCCGTCACCCATATGCCCCTCTCTTTCACTTCCGCCAACGATCGGGACCCCGAGAGCAAGTCGCGCAAGGCCCCCCCATGGCGGAGGGTGCACAAGGACGGGGACTCCTTCTGCAGCCCGAGCTCCCTCAAGCCTTGGGCGAACATCAGGCGGATGTCGGCGGGTCTGAAGTTCCACGGGCTGGCGATGGGCTCCCTGTTGGCCTTCAGCGCGAGCAGCACGGGCCAGAGCTCTGGCGCATCCACCAGCACCGACTCGTCGGTCTCGCCCGTCTTGCCAGGCCGGCCTGCTTTCGCGTCGTTGACGATGATCCCCCATGAGCTGAACCCCGCCCCAGCTATTGGCGGCACCAACGAGCTCACTCTCAGACGGTAAGCCTCCGAGGGCCGCTGGTACGCATGAAACACCAACGCCACGAACACCCCCATGCTGGGCAAGTTGCGAGAGATCATCCAACCAGCAACTGCCATGGCCGCAGCTCGCGGCAGTGGGAGCCGCATCTGCGGGG